GGAACTGATTTCCTTAACAAGACTCCTAAAGCCCAAGAAGTAAAATCAAGAATCAGTAAAGAGAATGGAATCAAACTAAAAAGCTTCTTCACAGCAAAGGAAGCAATCAAGAATATGAAGAGAGAGCCTACAGAATGGGAGAAAATCTTTGCCATCTCTACCTCAGATAGAGCATTAATCTCTAGGATACATAAAGAACTCAAAAAACTTAACACCAGACCAAACCAACTAAACAAACAAAAAACAAAAAAACCCAAATTATTCAATCAATAAATGGGGAAAAGAACTGAACAGGAACTTCACAGAAAAAAAAAATACAAATGGTCAACAAATATATGAGAAAATGTTCAACTTCTCTAGCAATTAGAGAAATGCAAATTAAAACTACACTGAGATTTCACCTCACTCCAGTCAGAATGGCAACTATCAAGAGGATAAATAACAATAAATGGTGGTGAGGATGTGGGGAAAAGGGTACACTCATGCATTGCTGGTGGGACTGCAAATTGGTGCAAACATTATGGAAAGCAGTGTGGAGATTCCTCAGAAAACTTGGAATGGAACCACCCCATTTGACCCAGTCATCTGACTCCCAGTTTATACACAAAGCATACCACAGTGACACAGCCATATCAACGTTTATAGCAGCTCAATTCACAATAGCTAAACTATGGAGCCAATCTAGGTGCCCTTTAATAGATGAACAGATAAAGAAAATGTGGTATATATACACAATGGAAAGTTACTCAGCCATAAAAAAGAATGAAATTATAGCATTTGCTGGGAAAATAAATGGAAAGGGAGTATATCATGCTAATTGAAATAATCCAATACCCCCAAACCAAAGGCTGAATGTTTTGTCTGATATGAAAATGCTAATTCACAATAAGGGGGTGGGTAGGGAAGAATAGAAATACTTGGAATTAGACAAAGGGGAATGAATGGAAGGGAGGGGGAATGGGAATAGGAAAGATAGTAGAATGAATAGGACATTACTATCCTATGCACTTACATGATTACACTGCCAATGTAACTCTACATTGTGTACAACCAGAAGAATGAGAAGTTATACTCCATATATGTATAATATGTCAAAATATGTTCCACTATCATGTATAACTAATAAGAACAAATAAATTTTTTAAAAAGGATGGTCCCAAAGAAGGGATGGCTTCCATAGTGAGGCCAGTCCAACAGACTAGCAGAGTGGGCCCTTGCTGCGCTCTGCAATGGAAGCTCAGCCCATAGACCTGGTCTATAACCTTGTAACCTTGAGGTAATCTTTCCTGGAGAGCAGCAGAACTATCGGGGTCTTATATAGAAATGAGTCATAGTTTTCTTCCTCGTCTGCCCAAGGTTGGAGTGGAATGTGTCAGCAACAGTTTAAGGCTGCCATGCTCATCTGTCTTCCATTCTCTCATTTTCTGGGCATCCTCTTTAGTTAGCTTCTTGCTAAGGATGGTTTGGAGGAATTGACACTAAATGTCTGCTGTGTTTCATACAGGGGCATGGCTGCCTAGAAGGGGGCCTTTTCTACCCAGGGTATAGGGGGTGGGGCATGTTTTATAAGCCAGTCCCAATTGTTCCTCATGACTCCTTGTTCCTTCTTTGTACCCACTGTCAGACCAATCATTCTGCTCCTTGTTATAATTACCTTGTGGGTGAGCCATAAGGTAGCCTTCTCTGCTGTTGACAATTATAATTCTTTGTGGAACTCTTTTTTGTTTTGTTTTGTTAAATGCAGACCAGGTGCCCCTGAGTGAAAGATGGAGATGAAGCTCATTTGCTTGGGACAGACACCAGATAAGAGTCAGAGCGAACAGCTCCCCAAAGAGAAGTCTCGCCAAAGAGAAGTGGTTTCTTGGTCATGTTCTCACCACATTAAAGGATCACCCTGCCACTCGGCTGAAATGAGTCAGTGGTCTTTTCAGAATTCCCTTTACAAGAGTGTTTCAGAGAAATCTGTGCTGGAGTTTGCGAACCTTTTTTTATTTTTATTTTTTCCTAGGCTGCAGCTGACTATTTTGCATTTTCCTGAGGTGAAACTCAGCTAGTCTTTTCAGGTGCTGAGAAAGAGATTCAATGCTTCCAAATTGGGGGTGAGGGCAGTAGCCACTAGGAACCCTGAAAGCTCTCTTTCCCACTGTAGGAAACTGTTTCCCCAAATTAGATTCTAAAATCGAACTGAGTGACTTCTAGAATTTGATTTTCCCTTAATCCTTTTCTTTTTAAATCATCTCCCTTCAAATTGCTGCCATCCTGTTAGCTTTCCTGACCTCCCAGTCTGGGCCTTCCAGCCTGGGCTCTTTTTCCTTAAAGGGGATCCTTGTCTGTGGGAGTCTCCTCACTGACCAGTCTCCTCACCCACCAGCAGAGATTGCAGTGGTTTTCTGTGATGTGTGTGGGTATTATCCAACCATTTCTAGACCACTTTCTAGACAGAGATCTTTCCTATCTTAGACACCATCTCCAATCGCAGGTCCTGGTTAGAGTTTCCTGATGGACATTCAGCTTCTTCCTTCTGCAGATGTTTACAGAGCACTATGTTCCAGGCACTAGGCATGGGGAAACAGCAATGGGAACCTGTCATCATGGAGTACCCAGACGATTGCACACTTACACAAAACCTAAATCAAACCCAAAGGGCTTCCCAAAAGAAGTGATCTCAAAATTAAGAACAGTGGAGTTAGCCAGGTGAGGGAGTAAGGAGAGAGAGCCTTTGACTTTTCATTGCATTCACACTGTTCAGCATCTTGCATTCTGCTGTGTATTTGCTTGTGTTGTTTCTATGCCAGATGTGTTGTTTATTGCCTTTGAGGTAATGGAACTCCTTTAGAACTTTCCCACTTATCTTTGTCAGGGTTTAGCAGAGCACAGAGTACTTTGCCAGGAAGAAAAGTAGCATTTACAAAGGGCCAGCTCTGGGGCCATCACTTTGTGTGAAGTTACTGTGTTACTGAAAGGAACTGGAGGTAGCCAGGCTAGGGCAATGGACACAGCCTGGAAATGAGGATGGTAATTATGTTCTTGTCTCTGAATCTTCTTGTGAGTTAGGGCATACTTCCTGTGATTTGCTCATCTATGCCTTGATTTAGTCATCTGGGGAGTGAAGGGATTCCACTCCAGTGTCTTCCAGTTCTGCTCTCCCCTTTTTCATGTTGCCTCTTAGAGCCATCTGAGTGTCATTGAACGGTGGGAAGACAACTACAGAAGGTGGCTCAGGGGTTGAGTCAGGAAACCCAATGTGGAAATGAAACCACAACCCTGACTTATATAAGTGCTGGCCAGTTGGAGGCCAAGGGAAGAAGGCTCCCAGAGAAATGACCCTCATGTGAGCCCCAGCACCTCTGTCTCTTTGTGCCCACTATCAGGCACGCTTGGTGCAAAGTGCCCGCTTTGCACCCCAGGTTTTGTTCTGAGGGCCCTGGAGCTTCCACCTTGCAGCATTGACACCTGTGGTCTTGTAACCTAGGCTACAGAAATAGCAAGTGGGTACGCAGAGGGCAAGTTGATGAGACAGACAGCACTGGGTACAGCCACTCACAGTGGAGCTCAGTGCTGAAAACACTTGAGTTGAGGACATCGTGTACTAATTCAAGGTTGCCCCCCTTTTTTTGTCTCTCAAACTTTTCAAAACAGGAAGAAAGTTTTTTCTTCAACTGTAGGCACCAGTAATAACCTAGGTCCTTCTAGAGAGATCTATTTGGAAGCCATCCAAGAAAGCTACCTTCACTAAGGGGATGCTAATCACTTTTTTTTGGTCTCTTTCTTCTTGTTTTTTTTTTTTTAAACTCTGGGCTTCTGGTAGCAGTTTGGAAGGTTGGCACAAGGCCATCTAAAAACCACAGAGGGGTGTTAGGTAATCATGTTCTCATTAAAATGCTGTTGTGTGGTTTAATTTTCAACGGTTTCTTTGCAGCTTGGAAACACACTATATTTTTTGAGGCAAGGAGAAATGGCTCTGTTATACAGGCAAAAAGGCAGGAAAAGGGGCTGCTTATAAATTACTTCCTTATATGTTTCCAGAAAAAAATACCAGCCACTTTCATTCCAGGGAAGGTAACTGAGCCTAAGGTTGGTTGGTACTTCTGAGCTTCCTGGAGATTGATGATGTTTAATTGACTCTGGGGACAAATGCTTCAAACATATTTGAAGACTCTGGAGAGACTGAAAGTATCAAATGGGGGCTGGGAGTGTAGCTCAGTGGTAGAGCACTAGCCCAGGTAACATGCATGAGGCCCTGGGTTCTGTCCCCAGCATTGTCAAAAAAAAAAAAAAAAAGTATCAATAGTATGACCATTCCTCAACTTGAACATTAAAGTAAGCATTTTTATAAGTAGTTAGGAAGTGCCAAGCATTAGACTAGGCCTCAAAGACAGAGAGATGGAACAGAGAGATGGAACAGAGAGATGAAGGTCTTAGTCCACAAGGAAATCATAATGGGGGGGGGGGTTATGTGGGGGATGGCAGATGCATAACAGCAACATGAACTATAGGATCATCTAGCCATATATATTTTTTTTCATCTTCATCCTCATGGAATTTCCACATAGGCCTTTTGAATTTTATTAGTAAAGACAGAAAACTAAATCCCAGGGTTACCATTTTATTTGGGGAAAAAAGGTGGGTGGGGAATAGTAGAGCATCCAAGAGTTCTCATTTCCACAAAAGGGAGGACTTTTTGGCTTTAAGGTAACCAGATTTTGATTTCAAGGGTAAGATTGGTTGTGTTCTGTCAATGGTGGGTGTCCTCGACCCCTCCCTGGCCACCCCCACCTTGATGATGGTGGGGAGTTCCAACAGTCTTCTAGGAGCTGCCCTTATTTCCCCTAGCTCCTGTTTTCTTTGTCTCCAGCCTTCCTGACTGACCTATTCCCACCTGGCTCAGCTCTCACTCTGTTACTTTGACCTTGGTCTTTAACTTGGCCACTCCTGCTCTGCTGTTTGTACATTCCCAAATCTTGGCTTTCTTCCTAGTTCTTCTACTCTGACTTTCAGCAACTCTGATGCCATACAGAAGCTGGGCTTCCCTAGTCCTATTTTGTCAGGGTTATGGACAGAAGAACACCCAAGGATGCAGCCCCCGGTGCAATGAAGATGGCCCTGGGTACACAGAATGGATCAAATTCAGCCCCAGGTAAATTGGACAGACCAATTTGGCCCCAGGACCAATTTGAACATTTCAAGTCAGATGAGCATTTCAAATTAGACTAATTCTGGTAACAAGTGGAAATTCTACCTGTTCCAGTAATGAACAGAAAAGGCACCCATATTTTGTTTTTTTTCCCCCCTCTAACTTTCCTCCTACTTATCTTCATTCTTTGGGCTATTCCTCCTTTTCTCTCTTTTGTTGGCAGTGTTATTATATGCATATTATAGAGAAATTTTCAATATTTACTTTTGGCCGTTGTTTTGAAGGACTTGGGATTTTCAGGTTTTCACAAAGCATATACAATTGTTTAACATTGTTAGATATGTGTGGAGGCTTTTTTATTTTATTTAAAATTCTTGAAATGGTAAACATTTTTGAGGCCAATCAAATTAGCTGACACTTTAGTGGAGGTATTTTATATACCCCCAAAGCTGAGTGTAGAGTAAACTGATTTGATTTACTGTCAGGTTCTTAAAATGTTGACATTAAAGCAGGTAAAAATCAGTGTGGTTTTCTTCATGGGGGGTTTCACTTTGACTTTCAGCATCGAATCTGAGGGTTTGGTGAACCCAGAAATGCAAAGTGAAACTTGGGAGTGCGGGTGCATATCAAGCCAAACAGACTTCTATGAATGAAGCTGAGTTCCAGTTAAGCTTCTTATCAGCTCACACATTTGTTAGCTGTCACCCTCCCCACTTCAGCAAATGTATGGTCCCCTGTCTTTAGGAACTTGATTTAAAATAAGATACATTGCTGACCACCAAATAGAATGGCCTTTCTAACCCTTCTCAAAGTCCATGCTCACCTGGACTACTTTATTTAAGCCATAGATATCATCTTTTTTTTTTTTTTCTTTTTTAAGGTGCTGTATTTTTAAGACCTTACTGTCCTCTGTCTTCTGGAAGATTGGAGGAAGAGGAGGAAAGGTGAACCTGGCAGAATACTTACCTACTTATCTTTGTGTGGGTAAAGGCACATGATAAAGAGACCTTGCTCCTCTCCATTGACTGTAGCAGCTCTGGAAAGCAACGTAAAGGCTGGGGAGTGTGAAGGAAGGGAGGCCCTAGCACCACAAAAATGTGTTCTTCAATCTTGACATATTTGATAAGCTGGGTTTAAGTAAATCAATAAAGTACAGTAGTTCCACTTTTGTAGTTTTGCTTCCCAAGTTTTCAGTTATCCTCAGCCTACCACAATCCAAAAATATTCAGTGGAAAATTCTAGAAATAAATGATTTGAAAGTTTTAAATTGTGGGCCATTCTGAGTAGTGTGATGAAATCTCACACCATGCCATTCTGCCTGCCCAGAGCATGAATTGTTCTCTGTCTGGTGTATCCAGGTATCCAGGTTGTATACATTATCTACCTGTTAGCCACTTAGTAGTCATCTCAGTTATCAGATTGACTGTATTGTATTTCAGTGCTTGAAATTTAAGTAACCTGTACTTTATTAATAGTGGTTTCCAAACAAAAGAGTAGAAATGCTGGTAATTCTGATATATCAAAGAGGAGCTGTAAAGTGCTTCCTTTACAAGGGGATAGTTCTCCACTTAGGGGAATAAAAAGTCTTATACTGAGGTTGCTAAAATTTGAAGTAAGAATGAATCTTCTGTCTGTGAAACTATGAAGGAAAAAGAAATCTGTGCTAGTTTGGCTGTTGGACCTCAAAATGGCAAAGTTATAGCCACAGGGCATAATAAGTGCTTCAGGTGGAAGAGGCTTTAAATTCATGGTGAAAGACATGAACAGAAAATATGCTCTGATTGACAGCAATGTGTTGTGTGTCAGAAAGCATTGAGCCTATATGAAGTGTTCAGCAAGGGATCCTCTGAAATGGGTGCCTTTTAATGCAAGCCTTGTAATGCAAAAAGCAATGGTTACACAGATTCAGGAATAGGTGTGGATTGAAAAATAAGAAAATGACTGGAGAAACTGTATCTGCCATTGAAGAAGCTGTTGCCGTATTTCCAACAGAGCTGAAGAAGTTGATTAAAGAGAGGGGACACTGTTCAGAACAAGTCTTCAATTGTCTTAAAAGTGGGCTCTTCTGGAAGAAGATGCCTAATAGAACTTACTTTCATAAAAGTATAAAGGAGACATTGGGGCACAAAACATGAAAGGACAGATTAACTCTGGTACCATGTGGCAACATGGCAGGGCACATGATAAAGCCAGGCACAGTGTACAGAACAAAGACCACATATATTCTCAAAAATAAAAACAAAAATTTTATTTTGAGAGAGATCACATTTACAAAAAAAAAATGCATTACGGTGTATTGTTATAATTATTCAATTTTATTAGTTGTTAATTTCTTACTGTGCCTAATTTATAAAGTAAATGTTATCCTATGTATGTACATATAGGAGAAAACATGGACATATAGGTCTTGATACTATCTAGGGTTTCAGGCATCTGCAATCTCCATGAATAAAGGAGTACTAAGGCAGTGTTATAGAAATCCACCCAATGTTTTGCTACTTAGTGCACATTTAACACATTGAATGCTTCCTCACTCAGGCTCCAGAATTTTTGCATACAAGTGGAAAATGTATAGAGGAATCTTTCATTTTCATAATACTTTAAACAGATTCAGTGTTCAAGGCGTAATTTTTGTTGTTTGCCTGTGCAATGAATGTGCCCCTTAGATCCTTAAATTCTTTGAGTCTGGGTACTCGATTCTGAAAGCAGCTCTTTACCAACACTTCATCCTCAACTGCTTGCTTACAGTTGTTAAAGTTTAGCTATGGAGGGATCAAAATCAGAGATTCAATGGCAAGGTGTTATTGTCTTGGCTCCAAGAGAGAGTTTATACGTACTGGGAATGTTAGACATGATTGACAGAGATGTGTGTGTGAGACTCAAGCTCCTTGCTCTGTTTTGCCATCACAAAGAACCCTTTCCCTTTGAAATCTAAGAAGGTCCCCGTCTCTTAGCTTGTGGAGGGAATTAGGCAGCAAATGACCATGAACATTTTTTTTAATCGGTTAAAGCTTTAATTGATACAGCGTTCATGAAGCATTTAGGAATTTCAGAAAGCTTTTACTTACTTTCCAAATGCAGCCACCTGTAGAGTGACATTCATCCGCAAAGGTGCATGATTTTCTTTAAACTCTCTGATCTTAACTTGGTTACTATTTAAACTTATTTAAATAGACTATAAATTCATTTTAAATATAATTAGATGAAATTAGGCGAAAACTGACCAAATGATCAAAGGCTTTCTTTTTCTTTCTCTTTTCCTGGCAACAATTCAGAACAGAATCTTGCACAGAGGTTAGTGATTCCGTGGAACAAAGACTTTGTATTTGACTTGCAGAAATGGTTGAGCAAATATTCAGGCTGAAAGCTCTCTTAATGGCCTGGGGTGGGGGAGTCTACAATCGGGAAGGCCCAGGTGGATCTGAGCTGGGATGAGTGCTTTCTTGGCAGGGAGCCCATTCTCATGATGAAAGCTGGGAAAATTTGCTTGGGCAGAGTAATCCAATGATACCAAAGGATTAGGCAGGCTTACATTTAGCAAACTGTAAACCATGACTCTGTATGGTGGACCTCTTCCCCAGTCAGGCAGCTGCTTTGCTCAGAGAATAGAGCAACTACAATTAAATAAGAGGAGAAACTAAAGAGAGAGGGTGAGAGGAAGGAAGTGCAGGGTGTTTCAAAATGATATTACACCCAGACAAACCAATTTGCCAGCCCTCAGTGCTAACAGAAGACTTGCCCATATCACCCCATAGACAAGTGGACACTTCTATCACCTTGAAAGGGCAGACTCCAAGTTCACTTTCTACCCCTTTGTCCTATTGGTCCTGTCACTTAATTATTTTACCTCTGATTACTTAGCTATTAGTGACACTAATTAAAATCTGTCTTGCCCTTAGATGTATGAAGCTGTTTATAAAATGCTTCGAAGGCAAATTGTTCCAAGATCTATTAATTCTGGTAAGAGCCGTGTCAGCTTCAGTTACATGCTCATAAATGTAAACCCAACCTGGTTGGTCAATAATCTCCAGGGATGGTCAAAATTGCTCAGGTGGCTTTATAGAAAATGTGTATGGGGGGACAAGAAAATGTGTATGGGGGGACAAGAAAATGTGTATGGGGGGACATGAAAAGATTGTTGGAAAGGCCCAACTAAAGATAGATAATAAATGGAACTCTACTGGGCAGGAGGAGGGCAGGAAAAAGAAGCTATTATTGAGCAGCAGGTATGTACTGTATTATACAAAGGAGTGATTTAGGTTGGGTTAGTGAGGTATTTGGGAGGAGGCTATTAAATATGAAAGCTGCATAAGGCTTAATAGGATTGACTAAACAAGGTTCCAGCCATGCCTGCTTCAGGTCCCCTTTCTTGCTTTTTCTGGCTATCCTAATGCTATTATCTGGGAGGACTGAGCAAATGAAGATGAAAGTTGGCTCTTCCAGTTTCCAGTTTGTTGGGCTCATGGGCCTTCACCTTAGGACTCTTTCTTCAGAATGTCATTTTACATAATACATATTGAATATGCAGACCATATTTAATTTGCCAAATAGATTAAAAAACTAACTCACTCACTAGTAAACCTGGTTTTCTCAGATGATGCATGAATAGGTACATTTCCGATGGCTATGGTTGGCTGGATAAGTAAAGGTTTCATTCATTCACTTGTGCAATAAACATTGAGCAAGGAAGTGCCATGTGCTTGATATTGTTCTAGGTGATGGGGATACAGGGCGCGGAGACAAGGTCTCTGTATTCAGTGACCTTACATTTTAGTGGAGGGACAGCTTGCAAAAACAGTAAATATTTTCTATAAATAAAACACTAAATATTTTTTTTTCATTTGAAAAAGCATATCCTATATGGAAACCCCAACATATGATAGAAGTAAAAAAATATTCACAGCAGTTGATGTATTGAGAAGTGTGTGTGTGTGCGCATGTGCATATGGGGGTATGTATGGTGTCAGAGCCATCTCTACCAATTTAGGCAAATTATAACAAATTGATTACAAAATGGTGCTTGTCACAAGACAGAAATAAAGCACAATGTTAAAAATCAAGTGATAATTATCTCATTGCGATGAGATGGATGCTGCCGCTGACAATCTCATTAAAGCATCTATAATCTGTTTGAATCATCCCCTTGAGTCATTGATCATGGCATGAACGAGGTCAATTTCTTTATTTTTGCTTTGTTTCTTTTCATCTTTTCTTATTGCTTTGATTTCCTCTGTTTATTAAATTACAAAATAATATCTCACAATTATAAAGCTGTAGGGAAAGGCCCATGCGTTTTTGTTCTGGATAGCTCAGTCACATACAGATCCAGAAACCATGGCAAGGGCTCTCTCTGGAGACTGTCAGACACTCTGTGGATGAGCTTATCACACTCAGACGAGGGACAGTTGGATGCTGCACATCAGGAGATAACTGCAAATGGATTTCTAGTCTATTCTTGAGTTCCATTTGGCTCTGAAAGTATTTATTTATGTTTTATTGCAGCATTTAGGCATGTTTTTAGATATATAAAATAATACGTAATAGGTTTGTTTCTAACAAGAAAGGTAAGTCATTACATTCTGGTAATAAATAAAAAAATATTTTTTGGCATTTTTAAGCTGTTTATAACATGGCTCAGTCTTAAAAGAAATCCCTTTATCTTATTTTTCATGTGGCCATGCAGGTTCAGAATGTTCGAGCTGCATATATTGATGAGATAATGCTCTTATAGGAAGCCACTTGAAATCATAGAAATGGCCATGAAGAAATTACTTTTTATCTCATCTCTCATTTCAAAACCTCCTTCCTCATAAAAGTCAAAATATGTCACTATCAGTGATTGCAATGTCATCCTGTTCCCAGTTTTCACCATTTCCTTTGTGGTGGTGGGTGCTGTGGTATTCACTACCCATCCGCCTCTGGAAATGAAGAAAGGATTCACCCCCTTCTCCATGTTCCTGGAATTGCTCTTGAAAACTGAGCTCAGCTTTCCTCCCTTTGTGGGGATGCCTTGGCTGTGGAAAACTACCTCACCCAAGCTCACTCCTCCTCCCAGGGCTGATTGATCCAGGTAGAGAGGCCCAGTCCCTTCATCCAAACTCAGGACATCTCTGAAGAGACATCCCAGCTTCAGAACTCCCCACATGGTTGGCTTAAGCCTAAATCACAGCTCGAATTCTCTCTCTGATCAATCCTGCTTCCTTTTTTTCCTTTCCACAGGTGTTGATTTAATAGAAAGTCCTGAAAAACATCCTGCACATTAATATGTATCTCAAGTCTGCATCCTGGGGAACCCAACCTGTGATAGCCGTCATCATAAAAGAGGAGAAAATCACTGGAATGGGATTTTTGGATCTAGATTTTGAGCTGTTTGGTGGTAATGAGGATCCCATCACTGGTGGTAGGTGGAATATAGATAGTTGCTCGCTCAATGTGGCAGCACAATTATTAAGACTTTTACCAATCATGAATGGGGATGGTACACATATGGGAGATAGATCCTACAGTGTATTAAACTTTTGAGAAACACAGTAGAAATGGTAACTTTAAAGACAACAGATTTTGGTCACTATAACTAAACTCCATTCTCATAAAAGATACAGAAAAGTTAATCATGATGACTTGGCAATTAAAACCTAAGTGTGAAATTCAGAGGGCAGCATATGAAGAGGTTTTCATCTCCTTCCGTGGAAGAGAAAGCTGCAAGGATCAGGCTGAAGATTTAATTCTAAAAATAGATGAGCACCAAAGAAGACCAAACTAACAAAGGCTGGTCGGATATTGTAAAGTTAAGATCTTGGTTAGAAAAGAGTGGGATGCTGAGAATTGGGAAGGGGACTTCTGGGTTGTTGCATCCAAGAATCTTCTGTCCTGAAATCACTGGGACCCTCTGAACCTGTAGAAGTAGCCCACATCTCCCTGGAAGGCTTGACATTCCCTTCTTACCTGAAGATGATGCAGAGTCTTCTCCATGTTAGACAACACCTGCCTCTTTCCCATAGAATCTACTCTCCCCTCCTTTTTTGTCCACGAGGTCAATGACTAGGGCTAAGACACAACATAAGCTGAGGACATGCTGGGCCTGCCTGGGGAGGGAAGGAGTCATGCTCTGAAGGAACTGTAGGATAAGTCAACTTGTAGGACCCAGGGAAGGACTGGATTGTGGAGAATGCAGAAACAAGGAGAACAGATTATTCATTCAGTTAAAGAGAGCTTATTGATATGTGAGCCCTCTCCTGGGACACAGGATTTTAATGTTCTTGGAGGACCCCCCAGAAAATGGTATAAACATGCTGCTAGGATGGCCCCCTAGAAAAATGGAAAAAATGGTCATTCACACCAATTGGAGCAAAAATGACCGAATTTCTGTAGCAGATGGTGATAAAAGGAGTAGTGCAAAAAGCTCAGCAAAGTGGGCACATGAGAGTGTATGTGCTATGTAAGGGTGACAAGGGTCACAGGATGACTGTTTTGCAGAAGGATCAGGAGGCTGGGCACAGTGGTGCATGACTCAGGAGGTTGAGGCAGTAGAATCATGAGTCCAAAGCTAAACTTAGCGAGGAATTTAGCGAGGCCTTAAGCAACTTAGTGGAACCCTGTCTCTAAATAAAATATTAAAAAGGGACTGGGGATGTGGCTCAGTTGTTAAGTGCCCTTAGATTCAATCCCTGATACAAAAAAAAAAAAAAAAATTCAGGAGGGCACACCAATAACCACAGTAACAAGAAATATGGTTCTGAAGAAGCAGTGGTGCCTCTCTTCCCCTAAGACTGACAGTTGGAGATGCTGTTACAGAACTCTGTTCAGAGAAAACAATGAGGATCATAGGAACCCTAAGCAGTAGCCCCAACTGCAACTTCTTTATTGAGCAGATTATCATGTCCTTCGTTATATGATGCAAAATCACTGATCTTACTAATGCTTTCTTTTCCAACCTTATTGGAAAGGATAAAAAATGACTTGCACTAACTTGAAAAGGACAATAGTATTCCCTTATAGTTTTCCCTCAGGGCTGCATTATCTCTTCTCCTCTCTGTCTTAAGATAGTCTGAGCTATCTAGACATTCAAAGAGTACCACCTTACTTCACTAGTCTACGACAAGATTGGATCAGATTGGATAAAGATAAAAAACAAAAGCACACACAAAAAAAACAAAAACCAGATCTGTGGATACTTTAGTGAGACACATTCCAGAGGGTGGGAGATAAACCCTACAAAGAACCTACCACACCAGTAACATATTTTGGGGGTCCTGTTCTGAGGTCTGCCAGGATATTCCCTTAAAAGTAAAGGACAAATTATTGCATCACATATCTCCTCCTTCCCTCCCTCCTTTCCTTCCTTCCTTCCTTCCTTCCTTCCTTCCTTCCTTCCTTTCATCATGTATCTTGACCACAAAGTAGGAAGCACAATCTACAACTCTTGGTAAGGTACCCTGGTTCTTCTATGCTCTGTACTTGGGAATATTGCTCTAGATCATGTAGTGGGTAATGTGGAAGGATGTCAATTTTCACTGATATTCAGAGCAGGAAAGAGCCCTGGAGCAGATATAGGTTTGAGTTACATGACCAGATAGATACCATTTTATTGGAAGTATCAATGGTAGAAAAAGATGCTTTGTGAGCTTATGATAAACCCAATAGAAGAATTACAGTATAGACTCTTAGATTTCTGGAGCATGATAATACCATCTACAGTTAGAATTATATAAGTTTCAAAATTATCTTGTGGGTTGTAGTGGAGGCTTCGTGCTTAATCACGGCACACTAAATGACCATGGAAGCAGAACTGCCAACAATGGGCTAAATTCTGCCAGAATCTTAGGGTTGGGAAGGCTAATAACAGTCCCTAATGAGATGAGCATGAGTTAAACCAGGCACACAACTAAGCTACAGAGACAGAGTCTAGCACCCCATGTCATCTATCATGACTACGGTAGCACCCTTTCCTCAGCTTATTTCTGTGACTGCAAAAGAATCCTTTAAGACCAGTTGATGAAGAAGGACAAACTCTGAGATTTGTCCACATATGGCTTGCCTTGGTATGCATTTTAAGATAAGAATCATGGTAGTTGTTATGGTTTGGATATGTTAACTGAAAAGCTCATGTGTTGGAAACATCCAATGTTTAGAGGTGAAAAGATTAGATCACGAGAGCTGTAACATCATCAGTAGATTTACAATTTAATGGATTAATAATTTGAATGACCTACTGGATAGTAATGATAGGCATGTGGGGTATGGCTGGAGGAAGGAAGTCACCGGGGGCATGCCCTTGGGAATATTTTTTTTCTTGGCTCCAATTCTATCTGCTTTCTGGCTTCCATGAGCTAAAAGCTTTCTTCTACTTTATACTTCCGCCATGATGTTTTGCCTTACTCAGTCCCAAAGCAATGGAGTCACCCAACCATGGACTGAACCTCTGAAACTGTGAGCCCAAAATGAACTTTTAATCCACTAAGTTGTTCTTGTAAGGTATTTTGGTCATAGTGACGAAAGTCTAACTAATACAGAAATTGTACTGTATATAGACTTTCTCAGGGTGGCCTCAATAGAAGCAGAGCAGGAAAAACGCTCTCAATGAGTAGAGCTTTAAGTGGTACAACTTTGGGAGGAAGGAAGAGCAGCTCAGAGACTAGAATATATATGCCCTCAGGATCAGTGGTGAATGGTTTGGTTGACTGTTTATGGTCCTGGGAGGAGAAAGATTGGAATATCAGAAACTAGAAGATCCGGGTAGATGCCTGTGAATGGGTATGTGGGAGAAGGAAAGAAGGGAGAAGATTTTTTTTTTTTTTAATGTTAAAGCCCACCAGACAGCATCCACCATAGAAGAGGCACTAAGCAAACAGGTAGACAAAGGGACTTGACCGGTTTTTATCAGGGAACCTCTGTCATCAGCTGCCCAGATAGGCATGAATAAAGCAGCCTGGATGGCAGGGATGGAGACTGTGCATGGGAAAGCCTGGAAAGTTGTTCTTCTTGTTCCCAGAACTCTAGAATTTATGTTTGAGCAAATCTGGTTCCCGAAGTGGAACATGAACACTTACTTCTTCCAGGGACAAAGAGTCCTATTGAACTATGACTACTACTTGCATGCTTCAGTACTTTTGCTAAGGGATCAGCAGGAAGAAGAGGAGTCACATCTTGGCAGGGGTAATTATCCTGATTATTAGGATGAAGTAAGCCTGCCGTCACACAATGAGAGTATCTAGGTGATCCACAGGATACCTCTTTGAATCCTCTTGCCCAATTCTGGCCCCAAAAGAGCATGGTGACAAGGTACTCAGACCCCTCAAGTATGAGGAAATGGGTCTTGCCAACAGGTAAGCCAGTGAGACCAACTGATGTGGTAGCTGAAGGTGAGGGGAATCTAAGATGAGTTACAGAGATAAAATGATGACTATCAGTTGCATCCTGGAGACATCTACAGTGGATAAGGACTACAGTTTATCTCACTAACTTTCCTCTCAAGCGTTCTCTAGGAATCCTGCAAAAGCTTCTCCCAGAGTTTAAACAAAGAGGTGGATCTGAGCAGTGCAAGAGATGAAATGCGTTGGATGTACTTCCCAGATACTCCTTTAGAGCTGAAGGACAAAATTCCTCTTGCTGGGAAAGCTCTTGGGAAGGTGGCTCTCAATCATCAGCCCATTCATGGAATTGTCTTGACTGAGGAAACTTCTTGCTAAAGGTGCAATATTTCCAATGACTGACCAGTGACGGGGTTTAAGGATCTGGTCCCCTCATCTCCATTCAAGTCAACTCTGAATCCCCTAGATTCATAGCACCCTAGGGGGTTGGCTGAGGACTTTGTTAGGATGTATGATCGCTCACTATCTCCCAATCTTGCTTCCTTTCTCTTCCTTCAACAGGTGTTGATCCTAAACCCTTGCCCTAGGAAAAATCCTGTATGCTAATCTGTATCTCAGAAATAACTTCCATGGGAATACCATCAAAATGGAATCAAGATTGAAAGGTGTGGTGCTGACAGCCACCTGATCTCTGAGGGAAGCTGTGGATAGACTGCTGTTCAGACACGTCCTCCTCAATTCACTGGGAATGCCCTCCTTAGTGCACACTCTGCAAACTGATGCCAAAGTATTTTTTACTTTATAGCATGACTCATAAAATACGTGTTGATCAAATGACAATCATTTTCACTTGGAGTGTGGGTTTTCAGTGATAAACAATTAGTAAACTATATCTAAGTGAAAAAGAGAAGGTAGACGTGTGGCACATGCCTGTAATCTCAGCTACTCAAGAAGCTGAGGAAGGAGGATCACACGTTTGAGACAATTTAGTAGGAGACCCTGTCTCAAATAAAATAGGGTGGGGGGAATGTAGCTCAGAGCATTGCCTACCATGTGGTTCAATCCCTAGTAAAACACACACACACACACACACACAGATTCTCATAGTGATGATGGTTGCATAACACTGTAAAGAGAACTAATGCTACTCAATTGTATGCTTAAAAATGGTTTCAATGGAAAAATTATGTTATTTATTTTTTACCACAATTTAAAAAAATCAATATGATGTAAAAAACAAAACAAAACAATATATCATAACAAAATCATTGACTTATACACTTTATGTGGATGAATTGTATGCTATGTAAGTTATATTTCAATAAGGTCATATATTTATTTATTGTTTTGGTACTAGAAATTGAACCCAGGGGCACTTAACCACTGAGCTACATCTCCATCCCTTTTTATTTTTATTTTGAGACAGGTTTTTACTAAGTTATTGAGGGCCTTGCGAAGTTGCTGAGGCTGGCTTTGAACTTGTGATCCTCCTGCCTCAGACTCCCAGGGTGCTGGGATTACAGGTATGTGCCACCATGCCAGGCTAATAAGGCAATTAAAAAAAAAAGAGAGACTCTTGAAGTGGAAAATCAACACTTCTCTTTCATATACGTGCCTCACCAGAGCTGAATTTTTCCATATATAAAATAAAATATCTATACAGGAACAATACTACCTTTCTCCCACGTTGTGTACCACAGATACTATGTAACACCTACAAATGTCCTTTGATAAAGAAATTGTGCTCTTACTTCCACTTTCTCTTCAAATACATTATTTGTCATTACCTTTGTAGCTGGTTTCACAAACTTCTTGGTAATAGTGTGGCCTATACTTATTTTATGATGCTTCTGTAGTGTTGGTTTCTCTATTACCTTTAGCAACAAAATTCATCAATTTTGTGTTAGAAAACACTTGTGATGTTTGCACTTGTTCTGGAAAAACTTTATTGTCCTATCAGCGAAGTCATTGTGCTTTGTTGGAAAATGGCACTGAAGCTTTCATGACTTCCTAGTGTTATTGGAAAACATTTTTATAACAGATGCCACCCTGGAGGTCTAGGGGCAAACACATTACCAGTCCAATACAAAACAGTTTTTAGATGCTTCTGGTCATATTTCCTAAGCTCAACTTATAGACTTTAATTTATGTGAGCTTGTTTAAGATCACAGTTATATTCTTACTTCTCCTAGCATATACTACTTCACTTCTCTTCATTTGTCCTTAAATCTGCTTTCTCTTTACAGTTATCATGGCATGGGGTACCTGAATTCTGATATTTACATCACTATTTTTATCATCTTTTGAACCACTGATGCATTTTCATAAATTAGGGACAGTTATAAAATTGATATATAAAAATACAAATCCAATAAGTAAAACATGACCTATATAAGCTGAGATAAAATCTACACCCTGTCCCTGGCTTAGATAAAAAGACACTAGGTGGCTGGGTAACCTTGGGTGCCCAAGAATCTCATTTTGACCAACACTATTCTCTTTTTTCTCTGTTCCTTATTCTTCCATTCTTCTTGTTGGGCCTAGCTGGACTCCTCACCTACTTTCTTCCCATCCTTTCCTTTCCCTGTTCCTGTACCTTTTTTGAAAATTATGAAACATTAAAACGGATATAGGCCTTGGGATTCTTTGAAGTTTGAAGATTACCTTATGCAGATGAGGAAACTGAAGTCCAGAGAGGTACAATGAATTTATTCAAGTCAGAGGGACCAGATTTGATCTCCTTGCTCCTCTGACTCATGGCACAATATTGTTCTATTTTGCCTTGAAGCCACGAAGACTTCTCTTTCAGCTCTCCCTCCTGGTTCTTTTAATGCTGACAGTGGTTGGACCCAGAGCAATCAAGTTGACTGAACTAAGAAAGTAGAAGTTTAAGGGATTCAAAACTTCTAAGTCTTCTTTCTCCTGTACTCCACCAAATATCCAGGCACCTACAACCTGTGTGCAGTCTCCTAAAATATCTGCCAAATGTGCATGCTCCTTTCATACCATCATTGTCTTAGTTCAAAAAGCACTTTTTCTCCTGTACTTTTTCTTTCTTTTTTTATCCTGTACTATTTCAACAACATCTTTTCTATTCTCTCTGATTTTAAGAGCTATCCCTGCCCCCAAGCCTCAAGACTACATTTCTATCCATCCATCCATCCCACTACTGCCAGAATGGTCTGATAATGTCACTCTCTATTCTTTGGTTACTCTTAAAGGCCTACACAATGAAATCCAATGTTATCAGGGCATGTGACAGTCAAGTCCATGTTCTGGCTCTTGCTTTTCTGATTAGTCTTATCCTCATCACTTTGTATATTAACCAGGCTAAATTTGATACATCCTCAAACATTTTCAAAATCTCAATGGCCTAACACAAAAAAAAGGATTTCTTATTTATGCAAAGTTCACTGCATTTCTGGGTCACTCTCTGGTGGAACTGCAATGACACAGAAAACAGGTTGCCTTACCAATATTTTTCCATGTCACCAGATTTCCTCCTTGCCATGGAGGAGAAAGCAAGAGCTGGAAGTTGAGTTCCATTCTATCGTGGGAAAATGGTACCCACTTTTCTTGTCCAGAACCTCCAACTGCAAAGGGGTCTGGGATATGAAAGGAATGTTTGGTGAGAGCTACTGTTTCTCCAGTTCCTTGCCACTGGGGCTCTGGAAATATTGCCTCTTCATTCCCTGAGTGGAAACTCTTTTTAGACATGGAAGCATTCCACACTGCCTAGCATGCCCTTCTTGCTGACCTGACAAATTCCTATAAACCCCAGTCTCTACTTTTAAGAAGCCATCCCTGACTTTCCCAGGCCAACTAACTGGTTCATTCCTCAATGTCTCCACCACACATTGAAGGTATCTCCATCAAAGTACCTTTTTATTTTAATTGCTTGGCCATTTCCCTCTGAACTGAAATCTTCTGTGGATAGGGAAAGAGCCTGTTGAGGGCCACAGCCTAGTCAGGATGACGCATGGCATTTTGCCAGAAGGGAGTGGTTGAGAGGTGAGCCAGCGAGCCATTGAGATGATGATGGTTATGTTAAGCTGTGTATTCAATTGTATATAGACCCCTGCTGTCCTCCTCAGGCGCCTGCTACTTTGGAGTTCTCACGGGGATTCCTGGGGAGTTTGAGTTGGCTGGTAAGGTCCAGTGGAGGGAGTTCCTGTTGGTGTGTGGTGTGCCTAGGAGGGCTGCGTGGGTGGCATTCGCGGGAGTTCGGAAAATGAAGTTTGTTCCTGCTTGAGTGGCTCGTGATTTGTGGCCAGCCAGACTGCGGCAAGAGCCCTTTTATCTTTAGGTCCTCAGTTTTAACACTGTGGTACATAGAGACACTTTGTACTTCTGGTTGAAAAAAGTGAATGAACAAATAAATGAAAGAAATGACTACAAAATTATCCAGTTTCTTGTTATTCCAACTACCCACCACCCTTGCTTAAGCAACCATCTTCTCTTGTCTGGACAACCCAAAAGCCCCTTTTCATACCCTTCTTCTGCTCTTGCCTCTATCCACCATGTTCTTATTTGGTAATCCCATCATTTTGAAACATGAATCCGAATGGGACTTCCTATTTCCTTATACCCAAATGTACAAATTCCTTCTCATGACCCAAGGAGGCATAATCCAGCCACTGCCTGCTGCCTAGCCTCAGCTCATTCTTCCTGTGTCTCCCACACCAGAGTGTAGTTTTAGTTCCCTGACCCTGTGTGTTTTGGTCACTTCTATACACTCAATTCCTAGAAGAACATCTCTGGCACAAAGCAAGGACTCCAACAATTGACAAATAAGTGGATACATGTAAGAAGGAAATTTCCTCCAGCTCAATTTCTATTTTGTAAGTTTTTGGATCTTCAATTCCTGAATGCATTACAGCAATTTTTTTTCCCCTTCAGAATTTTCCCAGGACTGATTTCTGTGTCTAGAATAGACTTTTTCTTGTCTTTGGGTTGTATCTTTCTCAGGCTTCAGCTTAAGTGTCTTTTTTTTTTTTTAGAATTTAGTTATTTTGTTTTGATTGTAAATGAAAAACTCCCACTTGAAATACCCTAAACAATAAGGGAATCTACTTGTTCATGAAAGAATTCCCCACGCAAAGACACTTCGCCGGGAGAATTCCAATTTTATTGCAAAAAGCTGTGTGCTTATATAGAACTAAGGGGGAGATGGTAGGGCTTAGATAAATGGCAGGCAACCTGTTTATTGGCAAGTTCTTTCAGATATCAGCTCCGGAGCCCAGGAATTAGTTCTCATTGGGGCTAAGGTTCCCCGCCAGCGAGATTTGAAATTGGCGCCGGCGGGAGAGTTCACACGGGCGGGAACTTTTCGCGCCACTGCAGAAATGAAGAAGGTAGGAAGAAGAGGTGCTTAGGCGCCATGTTGGGGTTTTTTCTCTGGGGTATGGCTGCCGTTTATACTTTTCCCAACAGTTCATGTGTCTCATGAGTGAGAAAATAGTAATGGCTTCAAGAAAGGATTGATCTAGGTTTCCGAAGATCCCCATTTCTCTCATTTTCTGTACAGCTGATTTTTAAAAATATCTTTATTTTATTTTTATGTGGTGCTGAGGATCGAACCCAGTACCTCACACGTGCAAAGCAAGTGCTCTACTACTGAGCTCCAGCCCCAGCCCCAGCCCCAGCCCCCAGCTCTGATTCTTATGGTAACAAAACTACTGCCATCATTCCAGGATCACATCCTCACATCTAATCTCCAGAGGAAGAAGGAGGGATTCCCATGGTATTTCCTTCTGGAGTTCAGGGATTCATTATCTCTCATTGGCCTGAATTGTATCACATGCCCATGTCTAACCGGATCCCTTTGGCAGTAAAATAAATTCAAGGGGGAGGGACCAGATTTGCTCAAGCCAATCAGGACACCCCTCCAGCTGAGGATGAGATTGCACATAACAATAAAGCTTCATATGGGGGAGCCCTTAATTCTCAAAAGATGGAAATTACTTTGGGCTGGAAAAATTTAAATACTTGAGATGTAATAAGAACAACAACAACAATAAATCTGTCCAATGCACTTTCATAGAGGAGCCTTCACTGCCCAATTCATCTAAGGAACTGTCCTTTATAATCTCCTATTACTGAATTCTACTCACTTCTCTCAAGGCACTTGACACTGTTTGCTAATATTAACTTTATTTGTCTATTGGTTTAGGGTCTGAATTTCCAACTAGACTCTCATTTCATAAGGGCAGATGTGATTTCTTCACCTGGTGCTAAAGTATACTAGAAAATTTAACATATATTGTTTCAATGAAAGAAAAAATTACCAATTTTTTTCTTTCCCTATTTGGCCCTGGTTTTCACTAAGGGAGACATAAGAGAAGAATAAGGATGAAAGAATAAGGATGAAAGTGAACACTCTGAGTATTAATTTGCCTTTTCTTTGTCTAGAAGCTAGTTCTCATTCCCTTCCAATAATCCCTCCAATTCCCTTGCCCCAGATCTCCTCTTATTAACTCACCTGCTCCTGGCAAACTGGTAATTTACTGTTCCTTTTTCCCCACCCCCCACCTACTTTGAATTTGAATCTCAATAGGAATCTTGATTTTAAAAAAGAAAGTTAGTTAAATTATAACTAAGCCTTCCTTCTTTGTGTTCTCCTAGCTCCTACAAGTATAGGGAGTGTGCTTTACTGAGTGAAAAATACATCTCCCTTATGGAAAACAAGACTGAATACAGCCAGGTAGTAGAAAGAGAAAGGAGTTTGGAGCAAGCCAATAAAATAGAAGATCTACCAGGAAAAAGTAAAGATTGAAAAACAGTGAAGTGGAAGGTCCTTAAGGTGAAAGGAGAAGGAACGATATAATGCATTTAGGAATTGAAGATCCAAAAACTTACAAAACAGAAATTGAGCTAGAGGAAATTTCCTTCTTACATTTATCCACTTATTTGTCAATTGCTGGAGTACATGCTTTGTGCCAGAGCTGTTCTTCTAG